TTACTAAACTTTTATGCTTCTGCTATCACCTTTTTTATGTTTAGCTTTCAATTGAGATACGATCGATTTCACCTGTGATTTGGTAGGGAAGGCTGAAGCATCACAGTAATCAGCAGTAGGATGAACAGACAGGAACACTTTGAACGCAGCTACAGGCATAATATTGTACTCGGCTTGCTGCACAATATCTACCAAGGTGGTTCAAAACTGTTCCTGAATACCTCTGCATGTCATTTGGAGACTTCTTGTGCTTGACCATTAAGCTCGTGATGGGCTAATGGATTTCAGTCGCCTTACCCCTTCAACTCACATTTTGCAGCCCCAGTGCTGAAAAGAGTGTTGGAAATACCTTCTTTTTAGCCAATAAAAATATCCAAAAATTTTAGTTCAAATGAATGAAAACCAGACTGTGAAGTTGTTTTTTTTAAACAAAAATTTCCTCCACTGGCTTGTGAGGGGGCCTGTTAAAGGAAAATATAGCTGGTGAATGGCACATCTCTAGTTTTAGCTACAGTAGTTTCATAACTTGTTCAGTTTCTCTATACATCATATATTGCACAAGCTTGATAAGAGTCCCATTTTGATCTTCCTTATTACCTTTCTTTCCTGATTTCGTTACTGATATTGAAACTACTGCTACTATAACAAAACTACATTGTCTCATGACAACGACAATCCTAAAGTAGAAAAGCAGACAGAAAGGAAAATGATCAGTCTAAATGGTCAAATATCACCTCAAAGTTGAAATAGTTGTTTGAAGTGCAGATATTTGACTTTCCCTTATACAAAAAGGAAAGACATTAATAAGAATTTATTATGCACAATGATTTGTCAAGGTGAATAATAATAAAAAAATTTGTTCAGTATCTGATTATACATGATTCATTGTTTTAATTTTGCTGCAAAATTTTCAGCATGGCTAATTTCTAACTCTCATCTAACAGAACAGAGGACTGGAAATATTTCTTGGTACTATTAAGTTGGTATGAAAAAGTAAGCTGATCATATAGGATAATTTCAATGGTGAAAAGAATAGAACTTTGACTGAAAGTAAGCCAAGCATTTGATACAGATAATCTTTTCTTGAATGAAAAAACAAAAAGTATTAACCAGCTGTCAGTGAAGGACTTGTCTCCTTGATGAAAGTTCTTAAAAGTAAAATATTGTTGTTGATGGAAGTCATGAAAAGTTCTTCACACATATAAATCAAAATTTCCTAAATTTTTGAATATTTGTTTATATTTGATCATTTCATGAAAGAATTACCCTTTAAGAAATCCATAAGCACTATCAAGGGATGTCCAGAATGAGATGATTCAGTTGTTTTCCCATATGGTTCAGATTCATGTATTGACTGCTGTTAGAAACTCCAGGTGTTCTTGAATTTTATCTAACTACATTGCAGACAATAACTGTGTAGAACAGGTGACAGTGGTTATTCAGTTTGTCACAGCTGTTAATTGATTTGTGACTGAAAATGGTGAGGTTACTATCAAGTGGTGTAGATATGACCAACATTGCTCTGTACAACCTTGAAGACATGTTGCTGAAACTGGAACACTTATGTAACCAACATGAAATGCAAGAACAGTGGTTTTGAGGAAATGATTCTAAAGGAATCCAAGAGCACAAACACTTTGAATTTTGTGTCTTACAAGACAGCTAACTGTTGCACTGTGTAGCAATGTTTTTCAGCTTTGTTCAAAACATATGCATCTACTTCAGTATGTTTCATAGTTAATTAAGGAACTATTGAGTGGGATGTGATAAGAAAGTAGATGTCTGCATTTGTGTGGCCTCCATTGCACAAGATGATAACATAGTAGCTAATAGATCATTGTTCCTTTCTGAAGCATAAGGAGTCATTACTAATATGCTAAAGTTTCAAATTTGTTGCTAGCTTTGTGGTATGGTATGACTTTCTGTATGAGACTTACAAATAACTACAAAATTGCAGTCTTGGCATATTTTGAGCTATTCTGTAGCTACTAAAATATACAATATTTTGTTCATCAGTCTTATATTGATGAAAGCTTTGCAAAGGTATGGGTGAATATAGAGAAGTTTGCAGAAGAAAAGGATATCACTAGAAAATCTTTGCTTGAAAAGCAGATTCACTTACGAAGAAAAAGATATTTTTCTTATGAAAGTGATGATGAACTTATCCTTGACCAATAGAAAACTTCTAGATCAATTTCTTTAACAAAAATACTTACGCAGCTGATGAATCCATGCAAGAGAACTGTAGAAACATAGCTCATTGTTCAGTTTCCTGCATAAAATTGATGACTTGTAGAAAATTAATTTAGAGACTTTTTGAAATGGTATGTGAATCTCCAAATTGGCTTTTCAAATGGCAAGGCAGCAGATGTCAGTGCAACACAACTGTGAAACAATCTTACTGGAAGTAAGTAAAATTACTTCATAAATTGTATACTATAGTACATGTGCAAGAACACATTGATATCATTATTTTCAGTCCCTTTTTTCACTCAGAATTATTCTAGCCTTGTCCATCTGAGATCAGCCATGATACAAACAAGTCTAGTAGGAGTGGCACAAATTTCAGTTGCATGTGAAAGTTCATATAAGTTTAACTTCAAGTAAGCATTGTCCAATTATGCCTCAATGAAAGCAAAAATGTGGCACACTTGTCACATGATAATTACTACTGCTGCCTTCCACCTAGGCAAGTTTTCAATCTCATGCCTTTAACCTCAATTTTACCTTCATCTGTTCATAAAAGCTGTAGGACTACAAATAAAATATATTTTCATTATACTTTAATACACCTACATAAGAATAAATCTTATTTGTAGTCCTACAGCTTTTTTGAACAGATGAAGGTAAAATTGAGGTTAAAGGCATGAGATTGAAAACTTGCCTAGGGCAGCCAATTATTTAGCACTAGACCTGTTTTAGGTGCACTGAGTTTATTGGCCCATTTTAATAACTCAAAAAAGCCAGTTCTTGCCACAAGATCATTCTCAACACCATTACCTTAATCCAATACCTAACATTTTCAAAACAGAACCAGACTCAAGAGCCTTGTTTATGTGATTTCCTCCATATTTTTTAACTCTACTGTCAATACAAAAAAAACCCGTGAAATACCACTTATCAGACTAACCCATATGCTTCCAATCATTCATTATCCACTATCTGTTTCAGTCTGAAATGAGTGACATGTGATTTCTTGTGGCTGTATTATAATAGCTTTTGTAATGCCCTTCATATGGTATATTGAAGATAGTTTTATTCTGTTAAAGGAATCAGACAGTTGGAACACAGTCTATGTCTCTGTCAAGTCTGACCATTTTGTTTTCTTCATTCTGATCTAGAAAGGTTGTATTCCACAGTTTTGTTTAATGACTTTTTCGTAATACTTTAATATATGGTTGATAGGTGTCTTTAAAAACCCTGTCAAAGAAATGCTGTTTCTTAATGATGCTACTGCTTCATAGGAACCCATTATCATGTCTTTCTGAAAGTTGGGAAGATCCTGTCTTTTAGCTGTTATAGTGCAAACTAACCATGATGTCTATAAAATGTAATGGTGTTAACACTAAAAAAATTGAAGAATATTTTTTCATAATTACATTACTAAGACAATAGAAATCAAAAATGAGAATAAAGTAAAAGTGTAATTTCTACAGAGTATATGTTGGCCCATTACAACAAATAGCACCACAACCATTAACATTGCTTAGATCTCCTCTTATTTATATGCACAAATATGATGTATAGTGACAGGCTGGTTTATTAGGGAAAAACCACAAACACACTCCAGCTATAATGCCAAATTTAAAATAGATTAATCATGTGATGCGTGAGGTACTTCATTTATAAATGAAGAAATGTAGTTATTAAGAATTGCAAGTACATCTTAATTCTTTATTTTTAATCTTTTACTCTTGCATCTTCATGATGTTAGAAGCACATGTAGGCTCAAGAAGTCTTGATAGAAATGAATACAAGCCCTATAACTCGAGTGCTTACAAAAGGTGGACCTTTCTTCTTCAGTTTGACCCTGAAGAAGAAAGGTCCACCTTTTGAAAGTGCTCGGGTTATAGGGTTTTTATTCATTACTCTTGCATCTGTTTTGATTGAGAAGTATTTATTGAGATTGTATTTTTTTCATTTTATTGTTATTATTCTATGACAAATACATTTATGTCTTACTTTTTTTTAGTTTTTGATCTCTTTATTGTAAAAAAAGTATGAGGAATATGTGTGCTTCAAAAAGTTATTATTTATTTCTGCTCTAACTATTTTAACTCTGGAAAGTGAATGTACTTTTATTTTTAATTTATTATCTCATCTTTCTACCTAATTACAAATGCTGTACATAAACTGCAGTTTACTAGTATAAAATATCTTGTTGATCTTTGGTTTTGCACTTGTTCAGGGTTAGTAGTGAGTAGTGGAATTTTCCTGAAACCAAACTAACCTAGTAACAAAAGAAGACTGAGGTTCATGGTTTTCTACTATTGAAATACACAAATTAGTATCATGAAAGTAGCTATGTAAACTCTATAAAGTTTTGAAATATTACTGAAAATAGTATGGAGAAAACATATTTCTTTAGATACTTATTTCCTTCACATCTAGAGTAATAATTTTTTAAGTATTACTTGCTATATTGTGACAAATTATAGAAGAATGAACCTTAAAAAGAGATTTTTTTAAATTCAGCCATAATAACTTTGTAGTTCAGATAACCATTAACAAAATAATGATGTTGGTAGAGAAATAAAAAATGTAAAAGAAAAATAATGGAACAGGTTTATCAACCTGAAATAAATATTTGAAGTGTACAGTTTTGCTCCTTGTTTTTATGTACACATTATTTTAGCTTGTTTATATAGTTTTAAATCAAAATATTTTAAGAAGCTTACTAGAATTCAAAAAGTATAATAAGTATTACTTTTCCTGCAAATAAAAATAAAATATATCTACAAGAAATTTTAATAAGCCTCTTTACTTTTAATATGTAACAGAAAGCTTCGTTCTCTGGCTTTGGTAGAAGCTATATATTTTGGAGATAAGAAGGTTACAGCTCAGGGCAAGAAATTGTTTGATTCCTGGATGAAGAATGGCACATGGTAATATTTACTTGCATCAGGTTTATAACATATTTATTCAGAAATATTTAGCATATTTTTTATAGTGTTCTTGATGTAAATATTCATGGGTTATAATAAGAGCTTAAAGATTTAACTGTTTGTCAAAACATGTCAGCTTTGGTAATAACTTTTTTTACTGTGTAAATACAGACATTTTTAATTATAAAAAATATTTTATTTATATATTTTCATAAGAAGAAATAAATGTGCAATGTTATGTATTCAATAAGTTGTTAAAATGTCTTAAAAGGAATCTCAGATAATAGTGGAAAAAATGTGAAGAATATATGAATACGTTATCATGTTTTGTGTTTGTACAGTTTTGTCTGATTATTGAGTTGTGGCCAAAATTTGATACTTTATGCCACTTAATTGAGGACCAACAATTTAAATCTTTCTTGACAAGTACTAATTTATATGTGTTTGTACTAGTGATCCTTTCATATCACTACCAAAATTTCAAATTTTTTTTAGTCTTTTATTTAAGTTTCATAGAATATTTTTGAAAAATACATTTATCCTTTAAGACATAATTTTTTCTTTTGTTACTGTTTTTTCCACACAGGAAAAACATCATTAAGAAAATATAATTTATTCCTTTTTAATCTCTCTCTAGTGCATAAATGTTAATTACTGATTAATATTTGCCCCAAAATGTCTTGTATACTTCCTGTTTTTTTTTGTTTTTTTTCAGAATACATATGTAGAATTTCATCTAATTAACACTAACTTGAACAGTGAGCATATTTTAGGTGTCATGTGCACTCCTGCATGTCAAATTTCAAAATTTAAATACAATTTAATAATTCTGCTCTATTTCAAGTTTTTTATTTGTAATGCTTATTTAGTGTAATTTGCTAATAGAAACACTTTTGAAACTTATATTTCTTCACAGCTCTGTGTCTTGCCTGTAAACAATACATTTATTGGTTGTTGTTTTTTTTTAGAATTTTTTGCCCAAATCTAAAGCATACATTTATGTTTGCAAAGAAACTATCATCCATTATGAATATAATTCTTAATAATTTTTTTTATGATTTTCTTTCTCTGATTTTATTAGTATAACCTCTTGGTCCTACCCTGTTATAACCTTATAGTATGTGATATGAACAACTACTAGTGAAGCTCAGCTTTGAAAATAGCTACAGGGAAAGTTTGGAAAGAGCAGATTATAAACTTCAATTTAAAATGAATAAATTTGTTAAAGAAGTCGGGATGCACGGGTACCCACCAGATGTTTGGCCCCAGACAGGTATTGGTCTACCCAATAATACACGGCTTTAGCTGAGTGCCGAAGTTAAGCGTCTAAGCCCTAATCTTTGTGGCAACTAATACAGTGCTGAAAATTACAGTCAATAATTGGTTTAGTTAAAAAAATTGTGTTCTGTACAATAAAAACTGACCACCCGCTGAAAGTTGGGTATTTAGAAAGCAGTAGGGGTTAATAACAGGCATGGCTTGAGAAGTGGATTTCTGGGGAAGGTGGGGGTTTTGAGAACAATAGGGGTTAGGGTTTGAGAAGTTGCAGCTAGGCATTGAAAGTTGAAAGTAAAACTTGAATATTCTGTTGGTGATTAATGGATTAAATGTAATAAATATCAGTTTTGTTTTTATGTGTTTCAAATTTTTGTGTATGTTTTTTTTGAAGGGGGTCCTGGTCCCAGTTGACACCCGGCCGAAGCTTAGTGACCGGGTGACTGGACCCGGTATTTTGCCAAATTTTACTACCCATGTATCCCTAGTAAGAAGTAATTTATGGTGTCATAGAAATTGACATGATGTAACTTTTATAAAGAAGAACACTGGAATATTTGGGAGACAGGAACGGAAATATTTAATAGTATCTTTAAATGCTTTTTTTTATTCCTGAAAATATTTTTCTGTTAATTTATATTTATATAAAAGCTACAGAAATTTTGTGTAAGCCTAGATAGGTTTAGAAAGCATGGTAAACAACAGTAAAATATTCAGATGACTCAAAAATAACACACATCTGTATTTATAAAACATAATTGGTAAGTTTAGTGTATTCAAATGAAAATAAATAAAAGAACTTATAATATTGAAAATAAGGTATATGTATTAGATATAAATTAATTTTGTCCTAGAATATCGTTATCAAATATATTGTTGCCCACTCTGACTTTATGGCATTTTGGAAGATCGAGTTGTAGGTCACAATAAATCTTTATTAGTTTCTTTAGTGTTTTGTACAACTTATTTGTTGCTGGTTGCCACAATTGGCCAAATAGAATATCAAAATCAATATGTTAATGAATCTCAATCCATTTTTTTGTAATTGGGTATAAAAATGTAACTTTCTGATCAAAATATAAGAGAAATTGTAATTCCAAATGAAGTATTTTTAATGTTTTTGAAAACAGTGTCTGACAAAAAATTTAAGAAATTTCATAACATTAAAAATTATAGAAAGATTAAAATTGTATGAATTGTTTTGAACCAAAGCTAGATACTATTTATTAAGTTTGCCCCCAAGTATCATGCAGTTTGGTTAAGATTTCAAATGTGAGAAGTAAAAAAATCAAGGAATATCGGTAACATCTATCCTGTCAGGAAAAGGTTAAATTGAATAATTTTCCTTCTTTTTTTATTTTTGCAGGAATGATACATTAATTTATTTTTGCATTTACATTTAATTAAAAATAAATTACTTTATAATTACTAAATTTATGTTTTGAGAAATATATATGAACAAACTACTTCTAAACCTAGTTTTTTTTTGTTTCGTTTCTAGTTGTACATATAGAGCAATTAATTAGCACC